AAGCAACGGTCCCATAGAGGCTGATAATAAAACTGGTCAGGTAAAGTTACTATAACCATATCCAACTGGTGACCACTTTTCACCTGCTGTCATACCTTTTGATTTAGAGTGCAGAGAATGGGCTGACAAAGTGAGAGGCATCTTTACACTGACAATGTTTGCAAAAAATAATGCTGATGATCAATGTAAACAAAACCAGACTAAGGCCCCCATCACACAAAGCATTTTAGCAGCTGGAGGCGGCCTCCTGTAAATGTTTTTAATGAGAATTAAAAATATAAATTCAACCTATAAATTCAAAACCATGATGATTATAATAATATATTTTTTACTGTATATACTTTGCTATAATATTTACTTACTTTTAATAAATTTTAGAGTGTTTGTAATAACTTTAAAGCACTAATAATCTTTCTGAATAGTGCTCTGAAAAAGAAGATAAAGGCTGGGAATTGGTATAATGACAAACGTGTCCTGGAGGAGATGAGGAGCCTTCACTGTAACCCACATCCCTTCTTCAGGGTCTTTCCATCAGAGTCAGACTTCAGTAAGTGGCATGTCCTCTCATTTCAGTGTAATGTATTTTATTTTTTTTATTTTGTTTGTGTGTGTGTTTGCATTTTTTCTGGGGCACACAAATGGCACAAGGTTTAGTTTTAGCTATGTAACATTGTATATTTTATGTGCAGAATGTACACAATGTAAACTGGGATTCACAATAAGCAGCATTTCTTGTTTTCAGGTACAGGTTTTTTTATCCATGTAAATATGTAACTTTAAATAGCAACACATATTATATTTTCAGGTTGTATCCGTCCCATTGTCATGAACACGGTGTCTCAGGAATCTCTTGAGGAATTTCTTTAAATTTGTCGAAAAACATCCTCTTGCGCTAAAGGATGAACTGGTTAGATTTTTTTTGTTTAACCTTTATTTAACCAGGTTAGTCTCATTGAGATGGGGGATCTCTTTTTCAAGGGAGACCTGGCCAAGGCAGCAGCGATACAGTCACATAGTTGCAGTTGACAGTAATTAGAAAAACATTTACAAACACAGAACAAACCCTCATACAGTCAGAACATTTACAGACCGAAAGCCTAGACTCCATGGATTTCACTCTCTCTTTAAAATCAGTCAAAGGAATCAGTGTATCTAAGTGTAGTTCAGACTGAAGCTTGTTCCAAACATCAGGAGCTGAAAACCTAAAAGATTTCTTTCCTAATTCAATCCTTATCTTTGGAAACAACCAGTTTCAAAATGTCCATGTAGCGGAGATTGTGACTTCCTTGTTTCCAGGTTAATAGTGAACTTAAATAAGAAGGATGTCTGCCCAAAATTGCTTTGTAAATTAAGATATACCAGTGACTGAGGCGACGAGCAGATAAGTTTCCTTTCCTGAGAGAACACAGTGATGAGTGAGAGAAGCACAGTTCGTAATGAATCTCAGAGCCCCGTGATACACTCTGTCCAACAGGTGAAAACAATGAGCAGGTGCATTCATTCATTTTGGCGGTCAAAGGCCACTGTGACCGTACAAAACACATCATATTAAGTTTTAAAGTTTGAATGGGGCTCAGCGGGGCGTTCTGTGAGAGCGCGATATTATCGTAATATGGTAAACAAGCTAACGACAGATCGGAAATGTGCAACAGCATTTTTTGCCGACACTAGATATCAAACAAAAGCCAGAGACTGTGTTGTAAGTTACTGTGAGCTGTAAACTGACCATTTAAAAGCAGAAGAGAGAAGATAATGTCTCTGAGCTTTACGGTGCAGAGCCTCTCTACCTCTGTGCTGCTGCAGGCTTGTCAGCAGTTCCCTGTACCAAAGAGTAGCATCAAAGTCAAGAGTGCTCACTCTGCAGCAAAATCTGGGGACCCAAACATCCTTAGAAGTTCACTGCACAGCACACTGACTAGCAAAAAAACTGCTAGACTTCTCCGACTTTCAGGGGCAGCCCTATGAAGATGTGTGTGAAGCGTTCACCATTCACAAGAAATACACAAAATACATTTCATTTAATTCTTCAAAGTCTTCACAGCATATTAGTCAGGACCGAGAAGGATATAAAGTGCAACTTGACAGGTTGGCTGAGGCATATATACACATGGAGGTAATTCTAGTTTCTTATCGTTTCAGGGTTCTGGAGGATCCTCATGCAAGGCCCTCCTGACACGCCGTATAAGAAAGGAGTGTTTGAGCTGTACTGCCAGTTTGGTCCAGACTACCCAGCGAAGCCTCCAGTCGTGCGCTTTGTCACACCTGTATCCTGCCAAATACAAATGAAAGACAAGTCTTTGTGTTTCTGTTGTAAAATGTAGACACACATTGTGGTTGTTCATCACTGATAAAGTAATGTTGTCCGTCCAGAATGTGTGTGTGTTTTCTTAACACAATGACAGGTTTACCACTGCAATGTCAACAGCGTTGGCCGCATCTGCCACAACATATTCGACCGCAACTACAACGCTCACATCACCATGAGGGAGATCCTGGAAGCTGTGTATGGACTGCTCATCATCCCTGAGCCTGATGATCCACTGGACAGGTGACATATATACACACTCAGTCATAAATAGGTCACTGTTATGGGCACTAAAGGGCATTTTCACCAAGAGATATTTCTTACGTTGAGGATATTTTTAACCCATTTTCACTTTGTTCTGTTTATTCAAAATGTTACGCACAGTAAAAATCCGTCACAGAGGTGTTGATTCAGCATTGTAGAGCAGACACTTGACTCCCATTTGACTCCCTTTTTTTCCTTTCAAAGCATTTTGGCAGAAGAATTCCTGACAAGCCGTAAGACGTATGAACGAGAAGCTGAGAAACATACAAAGAAAAACGCAGGAATCTCAATGGATGACATGGAGAAAGTAAATGGGTTCCTTTATATTAAATGTGTGCTGGTCATCACTTTTATTCTTACAGTTTAGTGCCGTACAGGTTTTCCTCACCATATTGTTTTGTACTGTTTTTGTTTTTATTTAAAGAAACTGGTGGAGACTGTGCCTCAGTTTATACCCCAACATCTGATCTGTCCGCTCACAAAGAAGATGTTTGTCGATCCTGTGAAAACAGTGTATGGCACTGTGTATGAACGCAAGGCCATTGAGGAGCACCTGAAGCAGTGAGTTTATTTACTACTGCTGACACTAATTAAGTTAGGTGTGATTACTTTAGTGACTGACAGTTGTTAAGAAACTACACGGTTGCACATGAACTCGTCTTTTAATGTAAAGTTAGCATAATGAGTTGACTGTACTTGCAGACACCACTATGACCCAACGGCCGGCCCGGGACATGAGCTTGAAATGAGTGACATCACGGCGGACCAGACCATGAAGAAAATGGTGATGGATCATCGTTCTCAGCAAATCCAGATCGAAACTACAACTGAATAGTTGGACATCAGTTTCACATGACAAAAATAACCAGCTGCTTTTTATATTATTCTGTACAAGTTAATTCATATTAACACATTATCCTGTTAGTTAGGGGCAATTAGTGTGTGTTGTTCTAATTATTTCACTCCTGCCTCAACGTCACTTCTTTACATGAGCAGTTATTTGTTTCATCTGTTGAGACACTTGTGTTTGGAGTTCATTCTTGTTCTTAACTTTAGATTGTTCAGGGTGCCTTTTCCATTTTGTCCTGTTTTCTTAGTCACTGTTTTATCAGTTAAATATATTGCATTGAAAATCTGAAATAACTTTTTTGAAGTTTGGTAAATCAAAGTGTAAGTTCATTGTATTTGTTATAATAGTGATCGCAAGAGAATAAAGCATGAGAGTGATTGAGACATTTTTTTTCATCATTTTCAAATTTGCAGAAACATTTGTTTTTTGTTTTTTTTTCCCCAAGTAATCCCTGTAAAAGCTGATCTATATTGATGTGCTTTTAAGTCACACATGGGACTTTTATGTCAGCATGCTATAGCCGAGTCTGTGTGAGTGAATGGAGAAACTAATATTTTTCACCTGTGTTTTTTTTTTTTTTTAATTTAAGAAAGGAGTAAGGGACAATGCACATTAATTAAAATGCACACTTGGATCTGTTATGTAAATGGGCCTGATTTAGTCATACAGGCTAATTTCCATCTGCAGTCCCTGGCATGTTCATGGCATATAAAAGAAACCCCCATACAAGCTCAGTACTTAGAAGCAAAGACTATTAAAGACAGTGATTCTCAGCAAGACTGAGCACATTTTAAATAATTGTATATCTCTTTATATTAAGTGTTTCAACATTTCATATACGGTACACAATTTGCATACAGTTATAATTTGCATGTTTGTAGAGTTTGTAGAGTTTACAAAATTAAAACCATTAAAACTAAACTGTTATGGGGGATAGATGGAAAGATGTGATCATCAAAAAGGTCATTATGTAACTGAAAAACACCAACTTCTTACTAATAACACTGCTGAGGACAAAAATATGGGTAAAAGCTTTAAGACTGACATAAATTTGATTATTCTTTTCCAAAAATGACAAAATAGGGACTCACCAAGACTCATGTAGTCAGTCATTACTCAGATATAAGGCTACAGCTGTCACCTACATTTGTCTACAGTAAGTGGCTTGGGTGATTTTTTAATTTTTTTTTAAATATTATTTAGTATTATTATTAGTAGTAATATTATTGTTTTTAATGATGATGATGATGATAATGATAATAGCAGTACCCACGTCTACTCTTATTCTCCATATTTATACAGTCTGGTTCTACGTCACGCCCGGGCACCAAACAAGTGAGGAAATGGGTCACTCTTGTTTTCAAATTAAATTTCCGTGCATTAACAAAAATGTATTAATTGCATTTCAGAACTACACATGATATAAGGGGGCAATTTTAAAACATTACAAACTGATATATTAACAGATAAACCCCATTACACGTGTTCGTCCGCTTTGTTACTGATTAAACGTCGAAACGCCGGCGTCAGTTATGCTTTTATTTTGAAGGGTCAAGTCGGAAGTGCTTTGTAAATGCGTGCCTAAACTTTCCGATTTGACTCCATGCTGTTGGACTGTGTGCAGGACTGAAAGCTGTGGACTCGGCTGTTTGAGTGGAAACAGGAGCAACCAAACAGCAGGTGAGTTTTTATTAGTTTACTACTAAAAGTTTAAACTGTTAGTATGTTTACTTTGTCAATTTGTTTACGTTCACCGTAAAGTTAGACTGAAAACTATCCTTACTACGTCAGTAGGTAGTTTTACTCCAGAGCTGTCAGCGTTTATACTAACGTTAGCTTAAATATAAAATCATAAAATGTTACAGCATTGATTTAAACTCTTGTGAATGATTTTTCTGACAAAGAATTACTCTTAACTGTAGCGCCGTTTACACTAAAGTAACTTCGTGTTCACTCGCTCTGCGGTCACTGCACTGATTTATTTAGTTCATTAATTAATTAGGATTTATGTAGCTAGCATTTATCTCAGAAGTAGCATAGCATTTGTAACACCAACTTTACTGGATGAAGTTAGTGTCTACACTATTGTTAAATGTGGTAATCTTTTCATTGACTCCTAACTGATCATGCTTTGACAAGTTGAGCCAGCGCCTGTCTTTCCTGCAGAACCTGTTCACACTCAAGTTTAAGTCAAAGCTGCTCGCAGAAATGTTAACACTGAAACTGGTTCTGAAACGGTCACATTGAATCTCAGTGGATCTGCTTTCTGTAGTGTAATGCACCAACACACTACATGTTTAAGTGGTGAAACACTATACTTTACTGCTATGCCACTTCTGTCAGAAACATTAAATGCCTGCATAAAAAAGGGTGAGAATTATTCCTCTTATAATAATTGGCCATTATAAACATTAATCACTATGATCTGTTTGCTATTCCTGCTTTTGAACCATTCAGAATATTAATAATATGTTTAACACTGTTAATAAAAGACAGAAGTGCTGAGACAAATTTGGACAAATGAATCCTTCTCATAAGACTGAGAGGTGCAGACATGTCAGTTTCCTGGAGAATCTTCACTTAGACCTGCAATACATCGGGAACTAATAAAAGCCACAACATGCAGCCAGGGGCGTAAATATAGGCAGTGCAGTTGCACTGAGGTCCACGGGGTGGGGGGGGGGGGGGGGGGGGGGGGGGGGGGGGGGGGGGGGGGGGGGGGGGGGGGGGGGGCGTAGAGAGAGTGGTTTGAGGCCCCGCTCTCTCTAGAGCAGGGAACAGTCCCTTGCAAGTATAAGGTACCAGGAACATGCTTGTTGGTTGTGGGAAATATATTGCTGTTCAAAAGTTTAAGGTAACCCTTTATAATGATTTATTTCGTCTTTCGTCTCCCACAAGCCCTTTTTAAATAGGAATTGTGCAAATTTGCAGGAAAGCCCAATCAGTCAGTCTTTTTTTCAGCATTGGCAGTAGGGATAGACTGATATGGATTTTTTGGGCCGATGCCGATACCGATTTTTTCCATCACCCTTAGCTGATGACTGATTATGGACTGCCGATTTTCTTGAGCCGATATTTGGGGCCAATACTGCTTTTGCTCCCTCAATTTACATCAAAAAAATGACACAATGATAACAAAGATTACAGGTCTCAAGTTTAAAATAAGAAACGTTTATTGAACAGTAAAAAATACTAAAACAAGATGGAAAGTTGAGGTAGAACAGGTAGATTATTATTATTATTATTATTATACATTCAAATAAAAAAAGAGTTCAGTGCTCTTAAATCTTCCAGTAATGTCTTTATAAAATAAACAAATATTTAAGCTGAAGCATAAATAAAACAACAACTACTGTACACAGTAGGATTCAACAGCTTTGTTCAACTTAACCACATACTTTCAAATGAAAAAAAGTGCCAGGGAAAAATAAATCCGCGAACCCACGTGCGTATCGGCCGATGCCAATACAAGTAAAAAACTCAAATATCGGGAGCAAGTAACAAAACGTGTAGCTCAGCGTGGGAGGGAAGAAGTAAATTCTTACTTTGTCATTTTCTTTTATGGAAGGTGGGATTATGATGAGTGAAAGCTGTTACATAAATCATTAACATTCACTTTTACTTCTGCCTCTTATAAAATGGATTTTTTGATTGTCAGATAACTTGAATCAAACACCATAACCATCATATAGCTACCTCAGCTCAGCTTCTTCAGTTACATCCCACCTTCACATCACAGTGACCCCCTAACTTCCTCTGCTTGTGTTCCTTTCTCCAGGGAGATGTGGTGGGTGCTGTGGGTGCTCGCCATCTTGCTGGCTATCTTCTGCACTTTCGATGTGTGGTACTTCCTCAGGGCAGCTGCTGTGATCATCAGGGCCTGGTTCCAGCCCCCAATCTGGGATGTCACCGCAGAGCAGACTCGTACCAGCCGGGTCACTACCAATGACATCGACATGTGCCACATGAACAATGCTCGTTACCTCCGAGAGTGTGACTTTGCCCGCTTCTCTCTGTACATGCGTAACGGCGTGTTCAAGGCGCTGCGAGCACTCAAAGCTTCGATGGTAGTGGGGGCCACCACCATCCGTTACCGCAGGGCCCTGTGTATAGGTGAGGGGTACGAGCTGCGGAGTCGCATCGTCACTTGGGACGACAAAGCCTTTTTCCTGGAGCAGAGATTTGTGTCAACAAAAGATGGGCTGGTGTGTGCCGTCATGTACTGCAAGCAGAGCGTAATACGCAGCAGCCCGGACAAGATCATGCAGCACCTGTGTAAGCGAAAGGTAAGGAACAAATGAATAAACACACATGCAAATATGTCACCTTTAATAACTGAAGAGCACTGAGTGTATGGTGTGCTCCCTGCAGGTGGAGTGCCCTGAGTTTCCAGAGGACCTTCAGCACTGGGTCAACTTCATCTCTGCCAGCAGCCAGGCCCTCAGAGCCGAGAACGGACTAGATGAGAAGAACAAATGAGACATTGCATGGGCAGCTTTACGGCTGGCTCTTTGCAAGAAAGCTAATTTACCATCTCAGGATTAAAAAGACATTTTTCTTTTGTTTACAATTACATGGATTCAAACACACTTGTGCCTACAGATGTGAAAACAAGCTTTCCTTAGACTTATGTCAACACTGGAAGAATAAGCACACCAGATTGTTTGGAGAGGCTAACATGTGATTACTAACTCAGTAATAATAAAGTAATATGATTGTATAAAGTGTATCTTTGTGTATTATGGCAGCAATAAATAAAAATGAATTTAAAATCATATTGATGCACTCACAGGGAAGAATCCAACAGGTCTCAGTGAACATTGTAAGGTACCAGAAACCTGCTTATAACCTGTTATATTAATGTGTTTCTTCTTTCCCTAAGTAATGGCTACTTTAACAGAGATAAAAATTGTATTAATTAGAAACCAGATGTATTATTTACATTTGAAATAGTTTTGACCCCAAAAAGAAGAAGAATTAAATGATTAAAACTTTAATTTAGTCGATGTCTCCAAATGTTGTATGATGGGAGAATACTTTCCATTCCTCCCACAAATACACTTTGATTTTGAATTTGAATAGTTTCATAGGTCCAGCCCACCTCTGATCAAATCAGACTGTATGTGGCCCCTGATGAACTAAAAATGAGTTTGACGCCTCTGCTCTAGACCATTCAAGCTGGAGGCTGTACACTGTAGGAATTAACTACCTCCAGAAGATGGCGGTAAAGCACTGAGGACGCCGCCTGCCATTGAAGCTCATAGAAGAAGATTGCGCGACGTCACGCACCCGGAAGTCATGTTCATTCAGTCTACCGGTTTCTATCTGTGGTTTCTGTTCAAGTTGCACCGCATCCCATGGTAGGGCTCGTTACTGGACGCACGGTAAGTTTTACACCCATACAAAACAATTCTACCGTATTTTTAACTATTTAAATTTTGACATGGTGGAAACTAAAAACAAAGAAGATGAGAAGCAGCGTAGTGCAGCCAGAGTCTGTACTCTGCAAGGCCACCAAGTGCCGGTAGCTAGCAGCTAAGCTAACAGATTTGGCTGTCACAGCAGGTTGCGCTCCGTTCATCTGAGCGAAGCCCTCAAGGTTGAAGTGGGAAATGACGGGGATGTGATGCTTCAATATTTCAGCATGAATATTAAGCTAACAAGTGGAGAAAAAAACATTAACCTATTGCTTTTCTACACATCTGCACTGACATTGATGAGGTCAAAGGTACATATGATTACATACAGTGTGGTCATGAATTTAGAAAACACTAACTCCTTTATGTAAGCATTTTTAAAGGAAATTAATGTCATTGGCTTTGGAATTGTAAATATGTGGCATATCATTTACCTTAAAATGAGTTTTTAATGCTTGTCACTAATATTTATTAATACATTACACCATACTATAATCTTATCTGTATCTCATATTGCATTTTAAGTCATGATTCACCATATTATAACATTTTTTATATTATATGTGCATCAAATCTCCAAGTATCACTACTTTATCATATCGTCTGTCTGCTGACTCTGCTGCTGTTTATCACACCACTGTTTGACCACACCATGTCATTTTACCTTGCAGTTTTCTCCCCAAATGTCCGTATATAAACCAAACCAAATTTAAACACAGCACTTTTGTTTTTGTTCCCATTTTTAACAGGTTTTAGTTAAAGTTAATAGTGTTTTTATGCACTCAGTAGATGTATTTCTCTCAAGTTTTGGTCACAAATTTGTTAAAATCTGTGTTAGCGAGCACTAATTTTTCAAGATAATCCATCCACCTGACAGGTGTGGCACACCAAGATGCTGATTAAACAGCATCATTACTACGCAGATGTGCTTTGGGATGGTCACAATTAAAGGACAGTAGTTTGATCACACAGCACAATGCCGCGGATGTCACAAGTTTTGAGAGAGCGTGCAGTTCGTATGCTGACTGCAGAGTGTCCACCAGAGCTGTTGCCTGTGAACCTGTGAATCATTTTACTGCCAAAAGCTGTCTCCTATGTAAATTCTGTGAATTTGGCAGTACATCCAACCAGCCCCACAACTGCACAAGTCAGTTACAATGATAAACTGCTGTTAGGCCCAGACCCCAGTGAGGACAACGAGCACGCAGATGAGCTTCCCTGAGATGGCTTCTGACAGTTTGCACAAATCAATTGTTTGCACAATCAGCTGTCTGGGTGGCTGGTCTTCGATGATCTTGCAGGTGAAGATGCTGCATGTGGAGGTCCTGAGCTGGTGTGGGTACAAGTGGTCAGCAGTTGTGAGACTGGTTGGATTTACTGCCAAATTAATGGAAACGACATTGGAGACATGTTATGGTAGTGAAATTAACATTCAGTTTACTGTGACCATCCCAGGGCACACCTGTGTAGTAATGCTGCTATTTAATCAGCATTTCGATATGCCACACCTGTCAGGTGGATGGATTATCTTGGAAATGGAGAAGTGCACACTAACATGGATGGTTGAGTGAATAAAAAAATGAAGATTTTTAATTTAAACATGTGAAATATGAAAACAAAAACAAAATTGTTGCATTTAAATTTTTGTTCAGTATTGATTTATATTTTTATTCTATTCTTATTTAACTGTATGTAACTCTTATTTTGTATTTCTTTAACTTGATCTTTTATCTGCACAAGTTGCTGTCCAACATTTTTTTTCTGCTGGGGATCAATTAGTTTTTATCTTATGTGTTCCAGAGAGATGTTGCTGCTGGTGCTGGGTGCCCTCCTCCTGCTCTTCTGCACACTGGATGTATGGTACTTCCTGCGGGGGGCCCAGGTGTTCTTTGAGGCGTGGTTCCTACCCAGAATATGGGACTTGTTGGCTGAGCAAAGCATTGACGGCATGGTCCTCCCCCATGATTTGGACTACATGGGCCACATGAACAACTCTCGATATCTAAGAGAGTGTGACTTTGCCCGCTTCCACCATTACATGCGAAACGGGCTCTTCATGGCCTCGCGCAAACTGGGGGCCAGATTGGTGGTAGGGGCCTCCACCATCCGGTACCGGCGCTCGCTGGCCTTCCGTGAGGCTTTTGAGATTCGGACCAAAATATTGGGATGGGATGAGAAGGCGTTTTACTTGGAGCAGCGCTTTGTGTCCAAGAGAGATGGTTTTGTCTCTGCGATCATGCTCTGCAGGCAGAATGTGGTGCGCTGCAGCCCAGAGACCATTATCGAGTTTGTCTGCAAAAGGAAGGTGAGGAATAGGTAGAGATGGAAAACAGTAATAATATGACTGTGGTTATGGTGCAACTGACGATTATGATCTTATTTTGAATATACCTTTTTATTGTAGGAAGAATAGCAATACAACAAAAACATAGCAGTTGGTCAACTATGAACTCATACAAAAATTATACCGATGGAAACCCGTGCCAGTTCATGCAGTAAAGGATCATTAATCATATCAGGACAAACATAATTCATTTTTTCCAGTATTGCTTAAATTCATCAACCCTTGGATTTTGCAAAAAAAAAGTCATTCTCGTTACAATATCGGTCCAGTCAGTCTTTGTTGGAGGTTCGATCTGTAACCAGTCCGGTGTTTCCTGCTAATAATATCTTTAATAGATATTTGTCTTGTGCCAATAAATTAGCTGCAAATTGATGAATCATTTTATCAAGAAATACTGTAAGACCCATTACATTTTCTTAAAATCGAAAGTGATATTAAATTGTTGTTTTTTCCCCCCAAACAACACTTAAAAACATAAAAATATTTAGTGAACTCCTTAAGTATGACACTTAAGGTTTACATGAAATCCCTCGCCAAGAACTGACTGGAAAGATCCCGTTGCATAAAACCACAGCACAATCATTAATTGTGAAGGACTGGATGAGCTCAGCTTTGGAAAGCTGAGTGATCCAACCCCAAACGTCAAATCATAATTCGACTTCTGGTAAAATGCAAAAGATGCAAAATCAGTTGCTCGTCATAAAGTGTGTACATTGGGTTCTCTCAGTCGTGGGACACTCATCTTGGCATGGTCAGGTTTTCTCATTTTTCTTTATAAACTCAGCCATGTTGTGGTTAAGATGGAGTTAGAGGTACCTTATGTTTCTGTCCGTACTTAGTATTACTTACTTAAGTATATAACTTCCTTAAGTAGAAGACCAAGATAAGGAGTAAACCTTAAATCCTAAAGGAGACATTTTAAGGAAAACCTTAAGGGGAAGACTTAAGAATGTTTTGTTCAACCGTTTGTTGTTGTTTTTTAAGTAACCTTAACTTGGACTTTAAGGAAAATCTTAACTCAAGGTGCTTTGTGCAACCGAACTTAGATCCTCACATTTTGGGAAGCTGGGAATTATTTCAGTTTTCCTCAAAATGAAAAAAATAAAAATGTAAAAATTCTTGCCTATTAATGTCAATCGACTAATAGTTTCAGCTTTATTTTACTTTGGCGTTCTGCTAACTTTGTATTTGTGTGCAGATCGAGTGCCCCGAATTTCCCGAGGACCTCAAACACTGGATCAGCTTCATCTCAGCCAGCAGCCAGGCTCTGAGAGCAGAGAGCGGCCTGGAAGGGAAAAACAAGTGAAGCCCCACACCATGACACCATGTATCATGAGTGTACACCCACATATCATTTGCATTGCACGCACATATACAGTATACATACAAGCACACAGACCGTTAAACATCGTAGAGTTTTCAGTTGATTCACAAGATTCCATTTGTCTCTGTTTTGGGGTCAATCCCTCCTGCTGTGTATTTTTGTATGATGTGAACAGAAATACTGAACTTATGAAAACTTGAACTGTAGGGTATTCCATATTTTAAAATGCACTGTATCCATTGGGATCATATTGAAAGTTCTTTGAGAACATAGTGACACAAGAACGTAGCTTTATCCTCATAGCACACAGACCGGCTTTAGACATCTTCATTCTCATTTTTAGCAGAAATCCTCTAACGTCAGATAAGCATGTCGAGCAAAAGTTAATCTTCCACTGACATCAATGCATGTTTTAGAACAGACAGAAGATTTCTTTTATGCCTGTTTCTCTTGATTAGCCGTAGTTTCAGAGCATTATAACTTTTTACAAGAAAAAAAAAGCGTAGATGTGATGAAATGCTTGAATGGACGTCATGAACATTTTGCACAAAGTATCCCAAGTGAGTAGACAAACTTAATTCTTGTTAACAATCTGAAAGGGACTATTTGATTTCGAAGGATACTTTTAATCAGTCCAGTATAGTTCTTTTACAGACTGTATGACTCATGCATTTAAAGGGTGGGCTTCTTGATTGGAGTTGCATGTCATTGTGAGAGAAACTGCTCGGATCCAAATTAATAGGCATAATAAGCAAATGCTGATACGAGGTTGCTGGCAGCTTTTCCAAACCTGCAATGCAAAAGAAACGTTAATGTTAGGACGATGCTTGGCCTTTTAAATCTTGAAGCTTCCCTTTAATGCATCAAAGCTTTATTTTGTGACCAAAGTATTGTATTGTTCTGTATGAAGAGGAGACAAAATCATTTTTAAAGATGTATGTCTAACCTGTTATTTATGTTGCTGATGCACTGAAAATCCTGTTTAATTTATTTAAGTCTGAAGATATTCACTGTCCTTTTCTTTTCCACTTGTGTTATTTAATATCCATTGAAATGGACTGATGTACTTAACTCCATGTATTGTTTTTGTTAATTATTTAGAGGAATTTTAAATTAAAAAATGCAGTGGAAACCAGTATTTATACCTGACTAAGTATTTAACTCGGTAATGCCACTGGTTATGTGTGTTTGACCATTCCACTCATTATGTAATGTGTTCCAGGATCTCAGCAGAATGAAGTTGATGTTTACTCTCTACAAACAGTTAAACTCTTTATGTAAGTCTGAAGTGTGTGTGTTCAACAATTTGTTTTCTTTGTTGTTCAGAGTTGGTGAAACTGGATCTCAGTGCCCTGTGACGTCCTTTTAGATGAAGTTAACAAAATAAAACTAAAACTTTTGGGGCATATTACATGGCTTTTGGCAGTGGTGGAATGTGTATATGTATTCAAGTACAATTTTGAGGTACTTTCAATTTCCTTCTAATTTATATTGTATGTCAACTTCACTCCCTTACAGAGGGAAATAATGTACGTTTTACTGCACAATATTTATTTGACAGCTGTGTTTACGATTTCCAATTAATATTTAACATTAAAAATCATCATTGTAAAATGTGGTTATTATATCTGCCCTAAAGTACACTGAAGTGTGGCGGATTATATGTATGAAATATCAGTAAATAGAAATATTCAAGTTAAGTACCTCAAAATGTACAGTACTTGAGTAAATGTACTAATTACAAAAACAAGGATTCACAACATAGAAAAAAAAATTAAAAGCTTACATGAAATAAAACTGTCAGAAGGGACTGTTCTTTATTTATCATAGGCAGGGGTGGCTGGGGTGTGACTTTGATTTTTAATTTATTTTATTTATTATATTTTAATTTTGACCCTCCCTAAAGCTACAAATATTTTTGCTTGAGCCTCTCTGAGTGACTGGAGAAAAATGCAGGACTCTCCCTCTGCCATAAATTAGTTAGATTTTTTTAATTTACCAGTTGGTGTTTGAAAGTCAAAAGTTAAAAGTTGAAGACAAAATTCTAGAGTTGAAAAAAGCCTTGGTTTTTACTCTTGCAAATATTAAATAATAATAATAATTATTATTATTATTATTTTAGCCAGATTTTATGAGACCTAGAAAAAGTGATTTTGATTCAATAGAACGATTTTAATTTAGTTATGTTTTTTTCTAAAGGAAGAGGTCATCGCACATGACGCGTCTAAGGACCATCGGAAATGTGAAAATGATGATGATGATGATACATGATTTTTTTTTCTAATGATAATTCCTGTTTTTACAGTTTCTGGTGATGATAAGTGGTGTAATTTTGGCAATTTTAAAAAGAAAATATGAATAAATATATTTTCTTAAAAAATCGGCAGTAAAATAAATACAAAATACAATCATTTGAATTTGTATGCTCCTCCTGCAAGCCAAAATAAAAAAAACATAAGTCCCTCCCCAGTGCTTAAAAAATTATCTGATATTCCTCCCATTTTTTGCCGCACTCCTTCCCCCCTCATAAGTAATGAACAGTCCCTAACTGTTCCCATTTTGCGATTTATGTATAGTGATTAATACAAGTAAAATTACATTATTTAAAATTACGCTATTTTAAAGAATATTATTATCATTATTATTTGCGGGTTTATTTTATTTTATTTTTGCGTTTTTAAAGCTTAAATGCCCTGCTACCGTTTCCGGTGACGCTCCTTTGACCACGTCCCCTTCTTTTCACTTCCTGTAAACAAAGCAGCAGCTGTGTGTTTGTCAGATTCCTGTGTATTCGCTCATTTTCTACACTCTCCTGCGTTTGTCGACGATGGCTCAAGCCGGAGTGGTCCTGGACAAGGACCAGTTCAACTGCTCGATATGTCTGGACGTGCTGAAGGACCCAGTGACCATCCCCTGCGGACACAGCTACTGCTGGGACTGTATCCAGAACTACTGGGACCAGGACGACTACCTGGGGATCTTCGTGTGTCCGCAGTGCAGGCACAACTTCAACCCGAGGCCGGTGCTCGCCAGAAACACCATGTTGGCCGACGTGGTGGAGAAATTCAAAAAGACTGGACTCCAGGAGGCCACGGCGACGCCTGTGAGTCAAAGTTTCGCCGAGGCCGATGACGTTGGGTGCGACGTCTGCACCGGGAGGAAAAACAAAGCTGTCAAGTCCTGTCTGGTGTGTCTGGCCTCCTACTGCGACCTCCACCTGCAGCCCCACTACGAGTCTGCTGCGTTCAAGAAACACAAGCTGGTGTCGGCCTCCAAAAAGCTCCAGGAGACGATCTGTGGCCGACACGACAAGCTCCTGGAGGTGTACTGCCGCACCGACAAGCAGTGCATCTGTTACCTGTGTCTGACTGATGAACACAAAGGGCACGACACGGTGCTGGCTGAGGCAGAGATACAGCAGAAGCAGGTAATCAAACCAATCAATCATCTGATTGATTTGATCAGCAATAGTTCTGGTTTAGATTGATCTGATGTGGTCTGGATGGCTCACAGCAGTGACATTGTCTCTTCCCAACTGCTGAGGGTTTCACAGGTTCTTTTTTTATAAATATTTAATCTTAATATATTTATTTTTATATTTTAGATACAGATTTCCTATTGTTCTTTACATTTGCATAACATGGAAATCTGTCTTTGACACTGGCACACTGCACACAACAATACACACATACACTAAAAATGCATGCATCTCATTGTATTTAAGGTGAGACAACCCAGGTGAAAACACAATGTTTCATACACTGCTTTTGAAATTTTGGGCTGTTTTTTTTCCATAGCATGTCTACTTTCAGACTAGTGGAAAGAAAACATATGAAATGCACATTTAGGTGATTATGTTAGTTCAGATTTCTGCTCTGGAAATGTATGTGAAAGTGCTTAATTAAGTAGATAACGCACCATTTGCATATTCACACATTTAATATCATAAAACTTGCAATATAAAGGTAATGAACTGGTTTCATGGTCTTAGCTTTTGTCTAAAAATATATGAAATTTTATGAAACATATTTCTGAAGGCCGTTTTCTCATAATCAGTTTTTTTCTTACTCTGAGCCAAAAAATCTCAACTTCAATAGCACTTACTGACACCAAATTTTCCACTTTTATTCCTACCAATATCCTGAAGGTTTTTACAGAGGGGTTTATTCATACATCATTCACAGCCAGATTTATATAACATTACATTCCTAAAAACATTGCGAAAATGGATTTTCAATGGCTATTGACAGTGTTTTCTGATTTATGAAGTGATAAAAAGAGATACCCAAAATATATTCTATAAAAACCTCTGACTTTTCAACAAAATTAAATAATTTTTTTAAACCTGACTTAATCAAATGTTCAGATTGTTGTTCTGGAAAGTGTGAAAATTCACATATAGTTTAGATGATGCCTTATTTGCATATTCAAACGTAACATTTTGGAAAACTTTTTTCCTAGAAAATAGTTGTCTCACTGTAAATAATCAACTGGGGAAGTTTCATGGTGATTTCATTCAGCTAAAAATGTTACCTTATTCACCAGGGGTGTCTCCATTATAATTGCGATCATCTTATTTTCAGGGAGAGATGAAAGATATTCAATATGCTTCTGCACAATCATACAGTTTCCAAACAAAATATACACTGGTTCCATACTGAGGAAAAGAAGTACAGTTGGCATTCAAACTGCTTGAGCATACTGTTTTAAAAGAAGATTTTAATTGAAAAAGATATTTTAATGTGTACAATTGATTTTCTCGCTTAAAGTTCTCATTCTTTAAACTTTAATCCTTTGTTTAAGCAGCTTGTCTCATTGAGATCAAGGTCTCTTTACTAGTAGAACAATAAACATGTTCAGTTGAAGGAAAACACAGCAATTCACAAAAACACACAATTTACAAACAAAATATGAATATGTTCCCTCTGAAAGAAAGTATTGTGTTTCATATCTTTATAATAAATATAATTTCAAAACTTTTCCGTAATGTGTACAGTTTTAAATCTGATGCTGTATTCACAAACATTCTGAGAATACTCTCAGAGAGCTCCCACTTCACCGAAAAATATTTAGTAAGGAGTCCTAGCTTTAGGAGTGAGTTAGGAAACTCTGAATAAGGAAGGGACAGAAACTTTGACCTTATCAAGGAGGTGTGTGGTTGACCATGTTGCTAGGCATGGTACATTCTTTTAACAGTTGTGATTGGTTGTCCTTTTGTGAGACTGTAGGATGTGGACGCCCATTAAAACTGAAATGAACTGTATCACAATACGAAACTGTGGAAGTGTTGTCTTTGTTAGTGTGATCACTCTGCTGATGGAAAGCTGGGACAGATCCAAGTCATCACTGCTGCACTGTTGCATCCTTCCAGTTCTCCAAATATCTCAGTGTTGTGATCACTGTATTTCTAGCATGATATTGTTATTGTGTTGGGTGGGAGGTGTGAGTGCATCTCTGATGAGATCGACCACAGACTTAAAACCTGCACCATCTAATCTATGGCATTTCATTAACTCACTGTCACCCAGTGTTTGGAGAATATTCCTCCGACCTCTTTGTGTTTTCACTAATTTCTCCTCTGCTTAAACTCTTAAGCCTCTGAAAAGAACTCCTCTCAGCTCATTATAGTTTTTAACCTAAGGAGCTCTCTAAAGGGCTAAGATGCTTTGTGAATAACTTATCTGCACCAGGACCTTGTCTTAACTTTAAGGGGAAATGCTTAATTCTAAGAATTGTCTTTGAACTTTGTCACTTGGAGCAACTCTTAGTACGAGGAAGCTGTGTGATTACAGCCCCTGGTTCAGATGGAGGAAAAGTGAAATTGCCTGTTTTAAAAAATTCAAATTTGATTCATCTAAAGCTTAGTTTTAAATAGTCTAAGTTTAAAAAAAATCTAAGTAGATTCATCTTTAATTAGTCTGAAACAGTCTCTGCAGTCTTCATGTTAATCTAGTCCAGGTTTGATCAGTTTAAACACAGTGGGGGTTTGTAATCTCAATCTGGTCTGATGAGACAGAGCTACTAGATGGCTCTTTACTGTCTTCATAAGCAGAAGGTTTCACACATTTGATACAGGGTTTCAAACAGTCTTAAGGTTTTTATTATCATGCCTATTATGTCTGTAATCAAACCCCACGACTCTAAGTGACCCAGCAGCTGAGAGTGAAGCGATACCAGCTCGTAAATCCTAAACTGGAAACCAAACTAAGCCTTGGCACGCACAGGGACATTTATTAAGTCATAAACTTTGTATACTGATGAACACAATGACATGAACACATCAACGATATAAGACAACCAGATACTCAGATTTCTCCTTGAAGTGAAAGTGATGGTAATGTAAAGTTTTTATAATATCTGTCCTCAGAGGGAGCTTGGTGACATGAAGCAGAGCTCTCAGCTGAGAATCCATCAAAGGGAAAAAGGAGTCCAGGAGATCAAACAAGCCATTTTCTCTCTCACTGTAAGTGCCAACATCCTGTTTGATCTGATATATAAATACAGTGGATCAATACATAGATGTTAAAATATGTCTCCCTTCTTCCAGATATCTGTCAACAGCTCATAATGTAAGAACTGAGACAAAGCCTTATGTGTTGCTCTGTGTCCCCTCCAGCGCTCTGCTCGGGCAGCAGCTGAGGAGAGTGACTCCGTCTTCACCGAACTGATTCGGTTGATCGAGCTGAAGCGTTTCGAGGTGAGAGAGCTCATCAAAGCCCAGGAGAAGACAGCCGTCAGTCAGGCCGAGCAGCTGCTGGAGAGGATCCAGAGAGAGATCGCTGAGCTGAAGAAGAAGGAGGCTGAGCTGGACAAACTCTCCCACACTGAGGACCACGTCCATTTCCTTCAGGTAGCAGCTCTCACACTGACACCATCAGTAGGAAAAATTGTCACTATATTAACAGTATACAATGCAGGAAGTCTCAGTTACTGCACACCATTCAAACGTGGCCCCTCCTCCCCACACTGCTTTTACATAAACTGCATGCTACGGTACTATAGTAGGAATGTTACATTTGTCGATACTTTACCAAGCTAACTAAGTTAACCGCTGGCACCTACCTGTACAACAGTAAACCGGACATCTCTGTATCACTCTTCATCCCCATCCTCTCCTTCAGTGCTCACCAGCAAAGGTCAAAGTGAAGCCAACCCCAGATTCAGGCTATACATTTTTTTAGGAAAACCCTGCATAGTATACCTTTAATACATGACATCTGAAGATTTTACCTTCAAAACACATGAGCAGTTTATGAAATATGATGCTTTAGTCAGTGTTCAAAGTCTCCTTCTTTAGTTTATTTATTTTTTACAGTCTTATTTTGATTTTTTAATGGTAAACATAAGGTGTTTCAAGCATATTCCAAGCTGATGAGCTTGTTTCAAGTATTTTCTAAAATGTAAAAATGAACTTACTGCCCAATTTGTCATTTTTTAAAGCTACAGACACTCATTTGCAAAACATTTTTAAACGAGTTAATTTAGCAACAAAAATATTTTCACTGCAAATACAGATTCTTTCATTTGTTTTAAGAAAATACGGTTTGAGGTATAATATATATAAAATAAAACACTATCAGAAAAGTACTTTTTGCATAGTAAGTACTTTTGATACTTGAGGTATATTTTATTTATAATATTATTATTATTAAGAATGATAATGCATTTTATTTATAGGCGCCGTTCAGAGCACTCAAGGACACCTTATAAGACACAGTTTAAAAAAAAAAAAAAAAAAAAAAACAATATATCTATAAATCATAAAATTAAACAATTGTGTAATATACAATAAAAGTTAATAACATGACAAGACAAAATTCATGATTATAACTATTAGGTATAAAATCATAATCATAAAGTTGTCATGCTGACAACACCTAAGCACTTTTTTGTAAGTAGAAAGAAAAAGAAAACAAGGCTGTTTGCGCTCTTATTACAAGTCCAAAGAAAAACTCACATCAGGTGTGTGGGCAAAAAATTGTCAAGAAGAAAGCAGGAAAAGCTCACACACTGATCAGAAAAATAGATTGTCCACTCCAGAGGTTGTTGGATGTTATGGTAGCATGTTTAATGGTCCATCAAAAATATATACAAAAATATATAACAAGTGCTACCATAGTGTGAAAAACAAAAAGAAACAAAAGAAAACTGACCAGAAACGTTTCGGCTACACAGCCATCCTCAGTCTATAGTGTGGTTTAACAGCTTTTACTTTAAGGTCCAGTGTGTAGAATTTAGGGGCATCTAAGTGGAATGGCATACAGTATTTTTTTTTTTTTTTTTTTTTTTTTGTTAAAGATATTTGTTGGGGCATTTTTAGCCTTTAATTGATAGGACAGACAAGTGTGAAGGGGGAGAGAGAGAGTGACATGCAGCAAAGGGCCACAGGCTGGAGTTGAACCCGGGCCGCTGCGGCAACAGCCTTGTACATGGGGCACCTGCTCTACCACTAAGCCACCGACGCCCCGGCATACAGTATTAATAACTGTGTTTTCATTAGGGTGTAATCACTTAAAATTGAGAATTGTTGTGCTAGTGTTACCGTTTTGTTATGTTAAAATGAGCCATTTATCTACGTACAGAGTAGATTCTCTTTAGTGGAGTCCTCTGTGTTGTTTCTACTGTAGCCCAGAACGGACAAATCAAACACCAGCTTTAGATAGGGTGATTCGTGTCTTGGTGTTTTAGCATCGGACACTGTAGTTCTCCTACACACATGGCACATTGAAGTGTCAGTTCTGCAACCTCACCACTAGATGTCACCAAATCCTACACACCAGACCTTTGAGTCAAGGATCTGAACCTCGACACTGGATACCAGAAGGATTTTTCAACGCATCTCAAGCTCTCTGTCTCTGTGTTTGTGTTTGTCATTCCAGAGCTGTCAGTCTCTCCAGGCTCCACCCGTGCTGTCAACTCTGCCCTCGGTCACCTCTGACCCCAGTCTCACCTTCGGCCCAGTGATGACAGCTGTGTCAGATTTTAAAGGGCTGTTGCAGGAGGTCTGCCAGGGAGGATTTGTCAGCATCTACGAGAGAGGTAGATACTGTACATAGCACATTTGTGTTTTTATCTAGTACAAATTATCCTGTTCATGTGAGTTTCTCTTTTTGTAGTGAGAGAGATAGAGATTGTAGGCCCTCAAAATCCTGCTGCACCTCTGGACACAACACAGCCGAAGCAAAGTGATTCAGATGTGCCAATGCAAGCAACACTTGGTGAGTCTCTGTTTGAATATGATGTGGATGAGTTAGATAGAAAATTACAGCTTTTGATACAGGTGTGAAGACACCCCAAAACTTTTGCCAGTCAGGGACGCATGTCTCAACTTAAACAGCTCAATGATGACATAAATGCATCTTGAATCACGTTTTAAGACATGTTGTTAAACTTTGTAGGATTCATTCAACTGGACAAAGCTCTGTACTTTAAATAAAAGCCTTAAATTTTACCCTGTTAGTTTGTGCTTCTCATCCTAACCTCCTCCTCATCATCATCATCATCATCATGCCACACAAACACCTTACTCAACTTGTTTGTTTACAGCAGACTTTGCTGAATGTGCACAAGCGGAATGACGACAGTGCGGCACACGGTGACAGTTTGGACAGCTGAGACTTTGCAGTAACAGTGTTTGTTCTCTTTGTGCTGGCAGTCAACCCTCCACCTGGCCTGGACCAAAGTCCTGTGAACCCTTTCAACCCTTTCCTCTCACCAGGACCTGCCGTGCCCACCTTTTCCTTCTCACCATTTGGTAAATATTATTTGCCATATTATGTTTACCATATCATCTTATGCTGGTATCAGAAATGTAATGTACTTCAGCATTAAACAGTGGGCAGAACCAGTTTTACACAAGAAAACCTAAAGCAAATTGAAACACAAATGTTATCATTGTAGTGACAGAAAGACAGAAAATTCTCTGTTACAAATAAAAGTCTTCACTCATAATTTAAGTACAAAAGAATTATTAGTAAATGTACTTAAAGTATCAAAAGTAGAAGTACTCATGAGGCCACAGAGTGAACCTATGAGAGAGTTATATTTCGTTACTGGGCTGTAATCACTGATGCGTCACTAATCCTGCAACTAACAGTTGTTTTGATTTTTAATCTGTGTATTATTTTCAAATTAATTGATTAGTTGTTTGGTCTATAAAATGTTAGAAAATGGTGAAAAATGTCAAACAGTGTTTCCCAAATAAATTACTTGTTTTGTCCTCAACCCAAAGATATTCAGTCTACTGTCATGAAGGAGTAATAAACCTGAAAATATTCATATTTAAGAAGGTGTAGTCAGATAATTTTTTACCATTTTCTTCCTTAAAAATGACTCAAACCAGTGAATTAATTATCAAATTACCTGGCAATTAATTTAATAGTTGGTAACTAATCGATTAATCAATTAACAGTTGCAGCTCTAGTTGCTAAAAAAGCAGCATTACAATGTTACAGCATATTGAGGTGGAGACCATTTCAACTACTCTCCAGTATACATTGTTGAGTAGTTGAATCTATAATAATTAATCATATTGTATAAGTTGGTCTCATGTTTTGTATGTAAAATCCACCACTAATTGTCTGTAGAGTTTTTTGTAGTAGTCTTCTTGTAAAGTCAAATTTACCTTTAGACTTTGAGTGGCTCTATGAAGACTGCCTGAAGAGCTGGGCGGCGTGTGTCAAACGTCTATGCAGAGTATATTTTACATGGATCTGTTATCGCACCAAAACACCTGCAAATACATGCAAATTGCATCTGCGATACCTGATTAGAAAGCTGTAACCTTTTCTGTGCACCTGTCACTCTCTTGATCGCCAAAGTTTGGTGTCAAATTATGAAAACTTGCATCAACTTTATATGATGCAAACATTCTAGGCAACACTTAAGTCTGGTGAGTGGTAGACATTTAAAGGCTCTGTGACATCACAGCAGCAGAGGGAAAGTAAAGCAGGAAGCATTGGTGGGAAATAATACAAAGCAATATATAAGTATGTATCAATATAAAAAACACAGGTCAGTGTAAGGATAAAGGGGGTTAATGGCGTGTTGAGCAAAGATTGATGCTGCCTCTGTGTGTGTTGTCATCTTAGCTTTACTGTGATCTGTGAAGCCACTGCCTAGCTCCTCAGCCCCACTTTGCGCCATGCTCATATGGCACTCACCACTAATATAAGAGATGACATCATTGTGGAAGCGTAGTGCCCATCCTTTAGTTCCCCCCTGGTTAACACCGTTGGCTCTGTCAGCACTTCTGCCGTTGTTTACTGCTGTTCATGAAGATAGCCCTGTTGCTCAGCCACCTCCATGTTGAGAACCATGTCCAAACGCACACTCTGAATCTCACATAAAGCCCCTTTAAATCTTTGAAATAAAAGAAGCCTTGTAGATTTAAATTTTCCATCTCAGGTAATTTAGTGTTTTTTTAATGCAGATATTTAGTGTATATGGCTTTCTTTTTTTTAATACTATGATCACTGATGTTGAAATGACATTTCATGACATTGCATCATCTGGAAAATAGTTCTGCAGATCATGTCTGGGAGAATATTTATTTGATTTGTAACCATCTTTGTCACCTCAGGGTGCCCTACAGTTACAGTGTGGACTAATAATCCCTGTTGTGTCTGCTCAGGGTCCAAACTCTCCTCAGGATCCAGACAGAGGTACCTCCAGCGACGTGCTCACCCCCGGAGGAAATAGACTCGTAGCGGACATCAGAATCAACATTTCACATGCACCTACATGGGCTGAATGTCGTTATACCTCAGTGCTCTTCTCTCACAAATCTGTACTGACACCTATGGATTGTATATTTAATAATTCATCTTTTGGTATTCATTATAACTGCTGTGTTTTCAGCGATCAGTGAACCTCACTGAAGGAAGAGTGTATCTACTGCTAGCTCACCTAGCACCACTGAGATAGGTCATGTTGTAGCTCAGCCGAGGGGGGCGCCATTGATGTTTACATCTCAGTCGTTAGCATGAGCCTCTTGTTCATGAGTAGATGCACACTTCCTTCTGCGTGGTGATACATTTGGCAGGTGTAGGTTGGTAGCAAGAAAATAGTTCCTACATGAATCTGCTCACAACAAGGTCTGTGGATTATCTTGAGTAACCAGGTGTTGATTTCTAGAAAGAGACACTGATGTTGAGTTTTTCAAATGTATTTATTATTATTATTTTTAATATTATTATTATTTTGGCGCTTTGAGCACCACAATCCTTTATATTCGGGAGAATGGCCACTATCTCCAACACACACCAAAACAGTCTAGACTGATAAATAGCACTACAGGTAAGAGAATGAATATATAATTTAGATTACAGGGTGAACTGTCCCTTTAAGCAGCATTAAGCAACACATAGCTAGACTAACTCACTACATCTAATTTCAGTATTTGAAAGAAAATTGCCTCGAAACTTGGTCAAGTTTTACTTTGTCTTTTTTTTTAAACAAGGTTTTGCTTTTATAATTATTTTTAATTTTTAACTGAACCTACAAAACAATCATTTTGTTGCTTTACAGACGTGTAATAATATATCGTGATTTGTGACACACAGGCATTAAAAAAATAAATACACGTGTACAAACTAGACTTTCCCAAGAGTGTTGTTTATTTGCCTAGAAGCAGGTTTGCGTGTCATTGTACTTTGAACAAATATGGGCACAAGGTGTTCGGTACAGGAGTGGAAGAACAGGTTGACTTTGCACACAGGCACACTGCAGAGCTTTTGTGTAAAATGTTATGTGTCAAATAACTTGAACTCATGTCAGTGCATCTAATATGAACATATCTAAAGTACACTTGAAGGAGGTGGTTCAATAGAAAGTTGATCTTTGCACAGTATCAGGGACAGCCTATTTCCTGGTGTCAGGGTTGTGATTGGAGGCCACAGGGTGCAGCAGGTGAAACCTGAGAAGCTGTAATCAACACACCTGTGAGTTACGCCCATCTTTGTCCCTTCCAGTTTCTGTTCAGAGCGTGGAGGAAATGGCAGCCACTATTTCTATTGAGCAAGACCAGTTTTGTTGTTCAGTGTGCTTGGAGGTTTTAAGAGACCCGGTGACGATCCCCTGTGGACACAGTTACTGTTTGGACTGCATTGAAGACTACTGGAACAGGCCCAAGCAGAAAGGCCAGTACAGCTGTCCACAGTGCAGGCAGGTGTTTAACCCCAGACCTCTGCTGAGCAGGAACACAGTTCTGGCAGAGCTGGTGGAGAAGTTTCAGCAGTCTGGATTTCAACCTGCAGCTCAACACTTGGCCAAACCAGAGGAAGTGAAATGCAGTGTTTGCACTGTGAGGAAAAGCAAAGCTGTTAAATCCTGCCTTGTGTGCTCCGAGTCTTACTGTGGGGCTCACTCCAGAGTCCATGAAGAACGCTTTCGTGGCAAGGCCCATAAGCTGGTCCCAGCTGTAGAGGAGCTGAGAGAGAAGCTGTGCCCACATCATGAGAAATCACTGAGGCTGTATTGTCGCACCGACCAGCAGTGTGTGTGTTCCCAGTGTGTGAAAGACAGACACAAGGGCCATGACACAGTGTCAGTGGTGGAGGAGAGAGCAACACAACAGGTGAGTCAACTTTTCCCCCTGTGTCAGCTTGATTTACGCTTAGATAAACTCAGATTACAACTTCCTTTTTATTTTAGAGTTTTACATATATAAAGCACATCTTGTAAGACTTTAGACCAGTATTCAGACAGGATTTATAAGTATTTGGTTTGTCAAGTCTGAGGAATTGACCCTGATGACATCACTATGACATAATCAGGGTTATTTTAGCTGTGACCTGGTTAGGTGGGATTTAACAATGGCAGAAGACGTATTTAGATGTTTTCTAAAATTTTGAATGCCCCAAAGTAAAAATCTGTGTTCCTAGTAAAAGTTCAAAATCTTAAGCTACTTGAATTAAAGTACAGAAGTATTACTAATTATCATTAGCCCCTTTTCCACCAACATTTCCAGGAACCTTTATTCCCAGGAATTTATTTACCTGGGTAAAATAATTCCTGGGAATCTGTGTGGTTTGCGTTTCCACTGCACCTCAAAGTTCTGGGAAATTTATTCAAATTAGCATGATGACGTAGATGATTCAGCGTGGGCCCTGTATTTGGCTCCGCTAGCTTATTGGCTGGTTACATGCTGGTGTAGAGAGTTGGGTCTGTTTGTCTCAGCCAGCAGCTAAGTTTAAAAGTATTTTAAGATAAGTGTCAAACTAAGTTAGCATACATATAGACAGCTGTCATTTGAGCTTATGAGTAACAATTTGCTATCAGCTGAACTAGCGTGCTGTCCTTGTGTAAGACATAACGTACGTGACGGTGGATGAGAGACTGTGGACAGAGCATATTGAATATCGTTGTCTACATGTTTATATATTCATGCTGCTGAACACATGTATTAATAAATTATTGGCTTCTTACTTGCTAAGGTTTAATTGCACTTACAATAACGAGTGTAGCTGCCGTCAACTCGAGAAATTAGCAAGTCGTCTTCACTTCGTTTCCACCGCGGCCGCTCAGCTGTTCACCGGTTACCATGTCGCGTCGGTGTATCTGTGGATGTGTGTGGGTGTAGAGGAGATCAACACCGGCACAAAATATCCAATAGCGTTAACACTTATCAATACTACGGCCTCTGGTAATTTAGCTCCGCGGCTAATTTAGTATCGGGTTTCGGTACACATCCTTAATCAAAACCCACTCGTAGAAATTAAGTAAAGTTTGCAGCAGCTGCCTGTGCCAGGAAGTGCGGAATGCTGCAAGTGTGTGTTCCACCAATCAGCGTTCTTCAGCACACAGCCCCGCCCCTCAAGAATTCCGGGTAATCTGAAAAGTCCTACCCCCCCACTAGGTATGTTTTTCAGGGAAAGTTTGGAGTTGAGGGGAAGTTTTTTCCCCGGGTAATTTCGGTGGAAACACACCGAGGTTTTTCAAAAGCCCGGGTAAATGAGAAAAGTTCCTGTGGTGGAAAAGGGGCTAATATATACTTGAACTAAGGTGGTACGGTGTTGCAGTGGTTAGCATTGTGGTTCCTAGTTCAAATCCGGGGGGGGGGGGGGGTCAACATGGATTTTCCTCGGGTACTCCGGCTTCCTCCCACAGTCCAAAGACATGCAGGTAATTGGTGACTCTACATTGTCCCTAGGTGTGAATGTGAGCTCAGTGTCAGCAATTATATAAGGCATTCCTGTAATCGCCTCAGGGTCATGTCATCTTTCGTTTGTTCTGCACACTGATGCATACTGAGTGGCGCTGTGGAATGTGTCTGCCCAACCCTGGCTTTATATTCCTTTTTTAAAACTTTGATAAAAATACTTTGAAATAAAAAATAATTATGCTTAAGTACTGTACTTGAGAAACTGAACCTAGTTACCTTCCATGACTGGGGATTGATGGTTGAGAGAAACAGGAGTTTGATATTTACCAACTTACTGGGCTACAAAGTTTTGGACCTACTGTTCCCACAATGCTCCTGGAGATGTAAACAGGAAGTGTTATGTTGCTGCCATGCATTTGGTATTTTTGTAATTCATTTTGGAAAATTAGCACCATTAAAAGTATGCTGAATTAACCATTAGCAGTACCCATGGATGTAAAGGCAGGTCTTTAATCCTGAAGAAAACTTTAAATGTGATGATGTATTTGTGATGGACATCGGATACAAAGATATCCCCATGAAGATTAAGGACAGATTTGACTGAGTTATTACTCTTTGACTGAAACCATTTAGAAGTCCTGGAGTACCCTTTAAACCTTGCTGTATGAAAAAGACAGTGGTGTCACTGACTCTGATTCTGTTTGGGGTTAAGAGACATTACAAATGAGACAAAAAAGACCCTTAAGGATTTATGGCATTACTTAAAGGTTTCAGCATTTCAAATATTAAATACAGGAAGTGTAAAATGTGCCCTGGTCCTGCAGCCATATCTTTTGCTCTGATGTTACTGTGTCAAAAGTTGAGGGCGACAGACCAAAGGCCTTCGACTGCAATAATGTCCTTTGATTTCAAATTCAAAACTTCCCATCTTGAAAGTCCACCGTGGAGAAAAAACTGTATTGGTGCGAGCAGCCTGAGGGACTGCACTGTGTGATATTCATCTTTTGTATTCTCTCAGAAAAAACTCCAAGAATCCTCTTTGAAGTCTGTGCAGAAGCTGAAGGATGCCGAGAAGGAACTCCGATATGTTGTCAGATATATCAAGGTGAGTGCATTTAAAACACAGGAGCTTTAAATATGTCGTTGACATAAAGCCTGTACAGTTAAAACAGGAGACTTTGAACCTCCACAGCATTCTACAGAGGCAGCAGTGGAGGAGAGCGAGAGGGTTTTCTCCAAGCTGATCCGCTCCATAGAGAAACAAAGCAGTGAGGTGAAGGAGGTGATGAGAGTCCAGGAGAGAGCGGCTGTCAGTCAGGCCGAGGAGCTGCTGGAGAAGGTACAGAGAGAGATCCTGGAGCTCAGGAGGAGCGACGCTGAGCTGGAGAAGATTTCTCACACTGAGGACCACGTCCACTTTCTTCAGGTATGGAACCACACATAACTCGGCCAGTGATGTGGGAAAAGTTTTGTCCAAACATGTCACTTATCACCTTAAGTGTATTTACTCAAGTTCTGCACTTAAATACAGTTTTGAGGTACTTTAGTGAAGTGTTTCCTATTTTTATTCAGGTGACAGGTTACTTTCCAGATTCAAGTTAATAACAGAAAATAATATTATACATTATTTTAAATGAATACATTCTCTAATTATTAGTGTATATTTGGGCTGCAGCTATTTTTATTGTAGATGACTGAAGGGATAATTTTTATTTCAGTCACACATCTGGAGAAACAAAGATTATTTCACGCACATTTTCTCACAGTCAATAACCGAAACGAAGCCCAAGGCTTATCTTATATCAACCAAAGGATAACCCAAAACATCAACTATGCAAATAAATTAATGATTAAATACATCATATTCGAAATTATGATCCTCAGTTCTTTTACATTTCAATCATTTTCCATTTTAAGGCTTTTTAAAACTCAACAGAGAGCGCACAATTTCAGTCCATCCCATAGTTTGACTCCCAAAACTGAAACACATCTTTACTTTACATTGGCTTTCACTTTATCTCTTAAATTACAATTTTCGTCTCTTAATTTAATAAAATTGAATACAGACAGGGAAAAGTATTTCTAATCTTGTTTAATACACATTGTCTGGATTATTTTCTGAATCAGCTGATTAGTTTTTTGGTCCATAGAATGTCAGAAAATGGTGAAAAATATTGGTCATAATTTTCTAAAGCTCAAAGATGATGTCCTCAAATGTCTTTTTTTGTCCACAACCCCCAAAAATTCAGTTCATTGTCATAGAAGAGTAAAGAATTCAGAAAATATTCACATTTAAGAAGCTGGGATCAAAGAATTTTTGCTATTTTTATTAAAAAAAAAACAACAAAAAATCAATCAGATTAATCGCTAATTAAAATAGTTGGCGATTATTTTCATAGTTGCCAACTAAACAAATTATTGTAGCTTTACTGTATGTTGAGACTTTAAATATTCATAAATAAATTTAAATTAGCCCAACATTTACCAGCTGTAATATTAAGGGGATGTACACTTTGATCCATTAATATATTACAATCCAATACAATAACTTGAATTACTCAGAAATGGGCCATTCTGCACAATGAATACTTTTACTTTTGGTACTTTAAGTATACTTTGACACTTACTAAATTACAATTCTAAATATAGGACTTTTACTTGCACCAGTATTCCTACACTGTAATGTTGCCATTTCACTAAAATATAGAAGTACTTCTACCACTTCCTTTAGATATAAATCAGGAGGAGACGGGGCCTTTTATATGCATAGTTTGTTGAAAGGTTTCTGCATGATTTTAACTGAGTCATCCTTATTCATTTTATTTATTTATTTATGTCAATTTATGTGGAGGTCAGACATAATGATAAGTGAGGTAATAAAACAAAATAAAACATTTTTAAGATAACAGTGAGTGTTGGCTCACTATCACAGTCATGCACATATTTGATATCTGGTGCCTGCATAGCACTGATGTGGCTCCCAACTCTAATACAGGATCTATTTTATTGATAAGTATTGAGAAGTATTGTATGAAAGGCTGCCAGGAAGATTTATATTCAGCAGTCTGGTCTTTCCCTCCAAAATGTGATTCTTTCACCCACTGAGGTGTTGATTATGTTAGACATTTCTGTCATAGTAATGAGACAATACTGTATTTGACAAAGATCTCTTAGAGTTACAGAGTTTGTCTGATACATTAAAATAATTGGTTTTACCAAGATGTAACATAACCTTATTCCAAATGTTAAGCACCCTGGAGCATTACAACATTCAACATTCATTTATTTGTTTGCAATTTGTTGCCTTGTGTGTTGTGTCAAACTCTGTTTAATAAAGTTATGATAAATGACAGAATGTAACACATGAAACAGTCAATAGTCAATTGTGCAGCACAAACTTTTTGTACAGTTTCATGACGATTTAATGACTCGCGTGATTCCTTTGTGTTTTGTTATCAGGGCTATAGTGTTTGAATTCAAATACTGTCCTCTAATTTGGTTGTGTTGCATGTCACTGCAGAAGAGCAAGTCTCTTCATTTCCATACAAAGAGTGTGGAGATGCCCAGCACTGACGCACTTCAATATTTGATGTACAAAACCTTGAGAGGAGCCCTGGTTGATCTCAAAGACAGTCTGGATGACACACTTGAAAGAGAATTCAGCAGAATCTCTGATAAAGGTATGATGTCTCTTTTTTCCCACTCATTACTACAAACATGATTATTTTGTGAACAGTAAATACTCACTGTTTATTTGTCTGTATTTGCAGTAATTTCACTGAAGGAAACCAGCAATCATAAAACCTCTGAAAAGACTAAAGGTATGTGAGTTTATTTAGTGGTTACAGGACTCTTTATCAAACTGTTCCCCTTAACAGCAATTCTGTCATGAAAAAAGTCTTTCAAAAATGTCATGGTATAATATGTCCGGAAAAAAAAAAGTCATAAAGGTCAAAGTATAATATCCTAAAAAAGTCATAATATATCCTAAAAAAAACTCAAAGTATATCATTTATAATATTTTTATGACGTTTCTCATGACATACTATACTATGACGTTTTTTATGGCTTTTTTCATGACATGCTATACTGTGACATTTTCTGACGTTTGTCATGACATACAATACTATATCTTGTTTTATGACAATTTTTAGGACAATCTATACTATGACATTTTTATGACCTTTTCATTACATACTAGAACGTTTTTATAACTCTTCATAACATACTGTACTATGACGTTTTTTATGACCTTTTCATGACATACTATACTATGACGTTTTTATGACCTTTTCATGACATACTATACTATGATGTTTTTATAACTTTTTCATGACATACTATACTGTGACATTTTTATGACTTTGGTCATGACATACTATACTATGACATTTTTATGACCTTTTCATGACATACTATACTATGATGTTTTTATAACTTTTTCATGACATACTATACTATGATGTTTTTATAACTTTTTCATGACATACTATACTATGACGTTTTTATGACCTTTTCATGACATACTATACTATGATGTTTTTATGACCTTTTCATGACATACTATACTATGATGTTTTTATGAC